TGCCACTTATTGTTGAGTCTTGTATTGCCAAACTGAAGTTCCAAATAACGATTTTCATTTGTCATTGTGGATTTTGGTGGACCATGTCCAGGTCTTCTCAATAAGAATTCAGTGTCTAGAAACTGTTTCCACAAACTGCACATAATATGGGGTGTTACAATGAACTCTGCAATCTGCCGACAATTCTCCATCTCATTTCTTCATCTGTTTGTTCATAGCTAATCATTTTACCTGACACATTTTAAAATTTATCCAACTCTTGCGAAAAACAGAGCAGATGTCTTGAAGAAGTGAGTACAAGTGCAAAAATTTCCGAAAAACCCTTCATGCAATTATATTCCATCCATAATCACAGCTCTGCAAACATGCGCATGTACACTTACATATCCGACACTGAATATTTACATTCTATGGTGGCATGATTAGCAAATTTAGTTTAATATTCGTCATTAAAATAGACATAATTTGCAAATTCTCTTAATTTTGCACAGGAGTGTATAGAGTTAGACAGATATTTGTAATAACTATTAGTGGCTAGTTATTTAAAATACAGTGCTGTTTAATTAGCAGTGCATTAGAAAAATTAATAATAAATTCTGAAGCTCGATAGAAAGTAATATTGATTGTTTTATTAATCGTATAATAATAGAACACGATTTTGAATAATGGTTGTATTATGCAGAAATATTTTGTGACCTTCAAGAATAATGTCATTCACAATAATTTTATAAACTTTCCATTTAAGGAGTAAAATGTTTTAAAAATAAGTGAAAAATATTTAATATGTTAAAATCTATAAATAAAACTGAAACCTGAAAATATTTTGAAAAAAACTTCCTGTGGTAAATATTACTTATAAGACAAATAAATGGTTATTCAATTGGAAACGTCATATTATCACAGAACTGAATATTTATATAAAATTATGCTAGCATTCTAATAATTAATTTAGAATAAAAATATGACAATTATTTTTACTTAAATTTCCAATTAATAAACATTAACAGAACCATCATGTAGTTTATATTCATTATGCTTTATGCAATGACTGTTTCAAATAAAAAATGTTTTAATCAGCTTGATTGTCCTAGATTTAATTATACGAGAATAATGCATATTTCACTCTTTTAAAACCCATGAATTTTCTCAAAATTTCAGTGCAAGGAAACAGTGTTTGAAAGACATTTTTACACAGTTATTCATTTTATTAACCCTTTGCGGCACAGTGTGTCCAGTATGGACACACCTAAAAATTTTCTTCTGTACGTGCAGAAAAATTGAATGAAAAAGGATTTATACGTTACTCTGAACCTTCTTTATTTATAGTAGATGGCAGCTCAACACAAACCAGTCCGTATATTTTAACCATGTTTAGTTTTTTAAGACTCTCATTTTTCAAAAAAATCTTCCAGATTTTTTATAGGGTATAAAAAGAATTGTTATGTTATTATTTTGGCTGTATGCTAATCTCCTTATTCTATATTAGTTTTAAATTTTTGTCGTGAAATCTTGCCTAAAATCAAACGGCGAACCCTAGGTGTGCCCATACTGGGCTCACCGATAATCTAGGACAACTGAGTCTGTATTCTTTGTTTCTCCGCATCTCATCGGTCAGTTCATTGACAACAATGCTCATTTCAGCACTCTTTTCGAAGCTTTATTCAATCAGTGTCCCACTTGGGCATACCCACATAATTAAAACGATGTGTGCTATCTTCACAAAATTTTACTTGTGTACACCTCTAGCCTAATTAGACTGCCTACCTTTTTTTTTTTAAATCAAAACTCAAACTTTAAAAGGTAGCGTGCCGGAAAGGGTTAAAAGCATTATTTTCATGACCCCTAAAATGCTATGTTAAAAATTGTATGGAAATATTGGCAATTTGAAGCTGAGATAGTAATAAATTCATGTGCCTATTGAAATAAAACATGCGCTATTATTTATTTAAGGGAATTGTTATAATATTACCAGTGCAAAATAGAAACCAGAACCTCATAATGTACTGAGTGAATAGAAAACGAATTCACGACGTTTAATGTAAATGGTTTGCAGTTACTTTCATATGATAATCATAATAATGCTGTTTGCTTTTTTCCATTAGTATCACATGTCTATTATTTATTTTCTATTCTCATATTAAAAAGATTAAACAAACCTATATGACAATAGACAAAACCACTTTCTCCTCTATCTAATTTAGAATTATAATGAAAGATTATAGAGAAATTCTGTTACTTCCCTATTATCTGCATCCCTGCTGAAATGTCACAAAATAATATTCATGAGGTAAAGCAATATGTCACCAAAAAGTATTAATGTGGTAATGTTTTCACCAGTGTGCAATAGTGGGATAATCTCTTTTAAAGAACAAGTTAATTTCAGTGAACAGTTTTACTCTAGTTATTGATAGAAAGCTGGTATTGAAAGTGTCCCAGGAACAAAGATCTGCTATTCATTCACAAACTGATTTGTTTTATCGAGCTAGCTTATGCCTGATTGGCGAAAAACCAATGGGGCTCTTGTTGGAAGCATGCTAGAAAAGTTCGATTTCCATTTTTGAGAAGAAAAGAATGTTTATCCTAACATGTTAAAAATGAGTTGATAATTTGATAATTTCTCAACTTTTTGAAAAAAAAAATTGTATAAATTTATTAGTTCTGTACAGAATTGAGTTTTTAGAGAATTCTCAAAACTACTGGGAAAAAAAAGGTTCAGGGGTTAGCATTTGATTGAATGATTCTTTTTGTTCTTTGCTCCAGTCTCATTAATCCCACTGCTCATTCGATTCTTTCACTTCATGCTCACTAACTGCCTTTGATACATAAGTAATTATACAGGGGTTCTACTGCTTTTGCAGTACTTCCCTGTAAAAATGAGAAGTCCACAATGGGCATGGTGATGATGGATACTGAATGAGTCCCATGGAGGGAGCTAGGAGAAGGTAGAACTAACCGCTCTGATGTCATTCTGGATCTTTTCAAAGTTATTGTTATTGAGTGGTGAGTAAAAAAGCCGATTTATTTCAGTGAGCAAATGATTCTGATCTGATCCCATAAAAGAAAGGTTTTGATCTCTAGTATGCAATTCTGCGATTTTTTTAACACTTTCAAAATAAGCTTTTGTGTATTAGCTTGTAAAAAAAAATTGTCAACAGGTTTGGAACGTTTTGGTGGAGGGTGTGGTCATTAGTCAGAAAGTAATGAAATTTTAAGCTGTTTTATATTTTACAGCAGACAATCAAATGAAAAATATCATATCCAAGCTTTTATTTCTTGTAATTACTGTAAGGATAACATAAACAGTAAAGTATGATAAAAACTATGCAAATATGTATATTTCAAAAGAATGTTTTAATAGTATCGACAATCTTCGAATTTGAAAACTTTTCTAGAAGGTTAATAATTTGGTTAAAGATAAATTTGTTGAAAAATTTTGCGTGCTGCCATTTGTCTCAGTTTGCCGACAGTAACATCAGGTCAAGATACAGAATTGATCATGACCTTATTTCAGAAAGCCTAAAAGTCGAATACAAATCCAACATGATTTCAAATAAGTCAGAATATGAATTCTGAACACATACATACCTATTTTGAAACAATTTCATTACAGAAGTTAAAAGTATATATTTAAAAAAAATATTAAAAACTAATTGATGTTTTATTATATCATTTCACACAATTACTTACTTTTTTTGGTTTCTCAATATTTATGTAAATAATTACAAGTTTGGCTTGCTTTTTGGATGGACTGCTGCATTTACATTTTTCTTTGCTAATAATTTAAAGTTCAGTACAATCAGAAAGATATTTTGATGCACATAGACTTTCTTTTAAACCTTTATGTATTAAAGCTTGAAGTATGCATATTACAGGTGTTGAAGATGAGGAACTGCTAGAAAGAACAGAAAGGTTCATGGAAAAAAAGAATTTTAGCAAGCTGTTCAGTTATTTAAACAAAATATCTTTACTGGCAGGATTTTTAGAGCAATTTTCTGTCATAAAAGCTTCTTATGCATTTTTGTGCAATAAAAATAAATAATATTTTACACAGAGTCGTAGCTAGGGTTTTCAGCGTCCAGGGACAACTGAAGATTTCACGCCCCCTACTGCTTATCAAGGATGGAAAACATTTAATTCTGTCGTAACATCAGTTTGGCGCCCCTTGGATTCTGCGCCCGGGGGCAGATGCCCCCCTCTAGCTATGCCCCTGATTTTATAGTCTTTGCAGTGAGGCTATCAGACTTGAAGGATGTTCTACATTCTGTCATCGTATCACATGTATAATTAAATGAAATTTCAACAAAGGGAGAACAAATTAAAACAGACTAAAGAAGTTTTGTAAATGCTGGGTATTTCATTTCTGTCATCTTCTATTAGACCAACAGTTTACAATATCAGTTTTTTTCTTTCCCTTACAAGTGTCTAAAAGTATTTACTGTTTAGTTTTTCATCTCTGAATGATGTATCTAAATGGCTCCCAACTTTATTGTAGTCAAGAGGAAAGGATTATCTTATATTACCAACTTAGTCCTCTGTATCTTGTATGTGACAATATAAATGGTCAACTCTTTGAAGAGATCCAAGGATATCTCACCAGCCTTTGGGCAGTACTTTTGGCTAGACAATATTTTATTTTAAGTGCCTCCATTTTGAAACCTCTGAGATTTGAATTGGTTTCCATAGTAAGAGGACTATGGCAAACAATTCCCTTACAATTATACTAAAAATATGACTGATGAACTTTTGAAAGACTATAGTTTTTCATACCATTTAAAACAAAATACATTTTCAAGTATGGCCATTTAATTAATTTTATGCTTCTCTTAATTTATTATTATCCGAGAATTCAGTGTTAAGAACTATCAATTCATGAGTTATGCAAAATTCATTTAGGATGAAATTTATATTATGCCAATTTTACAACTTATAAATTACAATAACAGATATAATCACATTAAACTTTTCCATTAGAAACAGAAGCATTACTATGATATGTCAGATACAGGTTTAAAATTGAGTTTTATTCTCATGATTATTATACATGTAATATAATACACAGTTAAAAACAGTTTGTATACATAGATTTCAACAAGTTACATTCAGTAAACACTTTGGTTCTTCTCTATATATAAATGGCATGATATTTACTGTCAAAATTTGATTATGCATGGAATAACAAAGATACTGGGAGAATTAAAGATATGTATGTTAACGAGGAATAAACATCATTAATACTTGACTGAAATTGAATATATACAGAAACAATTATAATTCATATTTTACTTTACTTACATAAACAAATTTTCCCGTTTGACTAGCAAGGAAAGGAAATAATACAATATTAACATAATGCTTCATAACATTCATATTCTTACAAATAATGCATCAGTGTCAGAATGGTTGTGAGTGAACCAGCCAAAAGTAGGAATGGAAACCAAGTTTTTAGAAAGCCAACAAAGCTGACATATTTCCCATAAATACACATGTAAATACACAGTTTAACCATGTTCCATGATGTACAATCGTTATACTGCATCAGATTCAAGGCTAAAGCAACATGAGAATGACAATTATCACAACATAAATTATGCATTCTTCCTTTATACTCCTCTGACGCTTCAGATACGGCAGCATCCCATTTTGATCTTCCTCCTTTTAATTGATTTATATTCAACTGCCAGTATTTAGTAGGCTTTCCGAATGCCATATCATCTTCTGAAACATAATACGGGCCAGCGAAATCTCGAATAACACCTGTTGACATTGCAATACCCATATGCCCAATTATTGGACAAAGCCATGTTAAAATGGGAATTGGGGTCCATACTACGCAAAATGGATACCTGGATTTCTTGTGATCCATCAGTGGAACTTCACAATCAGCTGCATCTACATTACAATTCGCATAATAAGAAAAACATTTTTCTTCTCTCATACCAAAGTTTTAGTGAAAGTTAACGAGGAGGAAAAGTTTCGAAACCACACACGTAAATACAGAGAACAGATTAGATCTTTGAGCCCGAAGGATGGGGGGAAAGAGGGAATAAAAAATTGTCAAGCAGAAATGAAAAAGAAATAATTTTTATAATAAACAATAATTCTTTTCAAACGAAAAATTTGAAATATAAAGGAGCAAATTAAAATATAGTTATGGTTTCATATATTCCTAACTTTCCGAATTAAAAAAGGAAAACATATAAAAGTGTGATCAAACTATTATATACAAAGGAAACGTACCGTTATTAAACGTGAATAAATTATAAAACGTAACTTTATTGAACACCATAATTTTGTTTTCAGCCATAATTTAGTTGAGTTTTTATTTCGTCACAGCTGCACGTTGAAGAACATATTTGAATTTGGTAAATTTAAGTAGAATAAATTATATTGCATAAAATAATCTTAAAATGAATCAGCATATGTTTTATTTTAGTGCAGTATTATGTTTCAGGAATGGTATCTTGGGTATACTGCCACTTAATCTCAAAATATTCTATAAATCATTATTTAAACTAAATTTTGCTTTTCTGTTTGGAAACAACGTATTCGTCCTTTGCACAGTTCGAATTTGGCAATAGTAAATAAGTTTCTACTTTGAAAATGTCTGTGGGTTCCCGATCGTGGAAGGTATAATGTTTGTACATTTTCACATCTAATTTCCGAAGTTCGGAAAAGTATATACCCAAAGGAGAATGATTAGAACTTTTAAACTTGTGGCGATGTCGTGTTAATAGAGTAACATGTATCAGATTATATGAAATGCCGGAATGTTTTAGTTAATCTGAAAAAAATAAAAATAAATGAAAGACTTATGATAAAAATACTTGCAGTCAGATGAAGTTGTAATGAAGGTTAAAAAAATTAAATTAAACTTTGATTTTTTACCATAGGCATCACTGAGCATTCTTAATTCTATATTTAGAAAATTTTTTAAAATTACTGTTGTAAATTGAAAATGTTTTCTTTTTATTTATTTTTTCTCATGGGAAACTACAGTAACTGTTGCAGCGATTTCTATTTAATTTAAAATGTCTAATATACAAATGATTTTCGTGTATGTTACATACCTTTATATTATTACTTTTCACTGCAGGTAATTAAGCCTCATATTCCACTTATCAAGTTCAGAAAAGGTGGAAGGGACCAAGGTAAAATATAATAGCTTTGATTCACGTATGTTTTTTTAATTAAAATCATTTTAATAATTTAATTAAAGTCATTATTTAAATTTTATTTCATGATTTATGTCTGAGAAGTTTAGATAAGTAACTAATTTTAATCTTTTTATAGCTAATACTATTTATAGGATAAAATAAATTGGAAAAATCACAGTTTTAAAATACGTGACTCCGTATCATTCATTTAAGTCTGTAATTTGCTGCATAGACTGCAAATTGTACTCATAAATATTAATATGGATTATATAGCCACACTCACAAAAGAAAATGAGACAGAAATACATGCCCACACACGCAGGGCAGGGTAAACCTACCAGGTGAAGATTGCATATTATACAGAAAACAATACTTAATTTTGTTTTGCTGAGTTTGTACAGTAAGCAGAAAATTATTCAAAATAAGGTGACAATTTTTGTGCGAGATGTTTTTTCAAATAAGTGCAAAACCTTAAATAAAATTTTCAATACCTTACCAGTTTCATTTGCTTAAAAAAAGGCTTTCAAAACTTGTAGCAACACAGGTATTTTTAGCTTTACAGATTTGTTGTTGTCATATTTTTATAGTTGTTAATACTTCTTATATTTAAAAATTCAGTGTTTTTTTACATAATTCTTTTATAATGAACCACATTTGAAATATATAATTATATTTACTGTAATTTAAACTTTTAACTGCAATTTTAACATAAGATTATTATTATTGTTATTATTTACTTGAGATAGCAATTTGGAATCATGTTTTGTGATTAAGAATAAAATAGCAGTTTTTATACACTGCCGGCCATTAAAATTGCAACAGCATGAAGTAAAGCAAATACAAAAAAGATATTTACTGCACGTAAACAGTATGGCATGAAGACAAAATTATTAAATTTGTAAGCATTTTGGAGGTTTACAAGGGGTGCGAAATTAGTAGAAATAGCTGCCACCCCTGGCAGATAAAATGGCCCTTACCCCATTAGGCATAAAATCAAACTGGGATTGGATGACAGAAATAGGCAACTCATTCCATGCTGCTTCAAATCTATGCCAAATTTCATCAACCCTATTACCTGGAGAGGGGTGGCGGGCTAGTCTCTCAGCAACCCATGACTAGATGTTTTCAGTGGGTGACAGATCTGGAGACTGTGCAGGCCAGGGCAGCGATCAAATACCCTGTATGCACGCAGAACCGGGATTCATTTGAAAAGGCGACATTGTTCCACTCCTGTACCCAGCTTTGTTGGTCTGGCCTTGTGAGCCAAGCATGCCCATTTCCTGACTAATGCTTCGTGATGTGGCCGTACGGTTTTGCAGGGCTGACCTCACAATATGTCTGTCCTCTCTGCCATTAATCATGGAAGGGCGTTGAGATCCTGCATGCCGTTCAGTATGACCCTCAGCAATCCATTGATTCCATATTCGCATGACAGTAGTTTTATGTCGCCCCAGTGGCGACCGGCGATATCACGGAACGATAATCCACACTTTTGATTGGCAACGATCCTGCCTCTATTGAATTTCAGAACTTTCCAGTAAGCATTTCCTCTTCTTATTTGAGGCATAACATGATATTATGAGCAAATTCCAACCTTACAAACAAAGCACTTTCCAAATGAGAAATCCACTACACAAGTATTTTTATGCTATGCTACAGATGTTGTTCCTCCCTCCTGTGTCATCTAAATGCTCTGAAATACTAATTATTTGCATATGCCAACTATCTCTTCCTTTCATGTGACTTTGACGTTCATCAGATCATTCCTTCCTGGTGTTGCAATTTTAATGGCCAGCAGTGTATTTACTTTCACGTTTTTCTTTTATTTGCATGTATCTTTATGTTTTGCTTCCGTGTTCTATTATCATTGGTTTTTAGTTCTATGGTTATATATTCATATTTTCATATTATAATTCTCATTTTTAGGATTTTAACTTTACTTAATCCTTTTTTTTTTTTTTTAACTTCCTTGTATGAAGTAAACGAAGTATTGTAATTGCAAAAAATTTCGAGTATCATATTTCAAGATTTTTATCATTCCTGAAACCATTTGTATGATTTTTTTGTATGAAGTCTGCATGTATGAACAAAATAAAAGTGTTTTCTAAATTGGATTGTGCATATGTACGTGTGTAAATAGATTGTGCGTATGCATTTGTCTTGCGTAACTCAAAAATGATTAGCCATAGAAGTCTGAAGTTTTGTATATAAAACTGTTGTAATATCTAATTGTGCATCCTCCTTTTCTTATTGCAGTCAGCAGCACCAGATATATATATATATATATATATATATAGTACAAAGTCTGTAATCTGGACTCGTCAGGACTTCGTCGATTCCAGATTAGGGGTTTTTCCGGATTATAGACCATCAATTTAAATCTGGTAAAATGGCATGCAGAAATTATACAATTAAAAATATGAAACCATAATTTATAAAATAAGGAGCAATTATGATCTAAAGGGTATCAAAATTTACAAAAAAAAAAAAAAAAAAAAAAAAAAAAAAACACAATATGGTAACTGGTAGTTTGGCGACATTTTGGAGGCAATAAAGGTTACTACCTGGGACTTTGGTAATAATGTGAGCAGTACTCAGTTCCGATTACGCATTATTTTGTGTGAGGGAAATGAGAGATCATGGGATATGTCATGTGATATTAATGGACGAATTACGGTTCTTGAATCGGAAAAGGGGGGAAATCGGGAAAAAATCTGGAAATTTTGTATTTGGTTTATTCTGTGTTGTGTGAAACAGTGTTCGTGAATTTTTGGATCCCATGGCCGTAACTAAAGAAAAGTTTATCGGACACGTAATCAAGATTCTGAAGAAGATTAGGTAAGTTAGTATTTTTAATTATTTGAGGATATTATTTTTATGCATTGTTCTAAATGTAAGGTGGAAGTAAAGGAATTTGGTATTATTGGGAAAATTGTTATTAGCAATGATTTAGTTTAAAGTAATTAGGATTGTAAGGTAATTTTTATTAATTTAATGTATGTGCTTATTTATATTTTAAATAGTGTTTTTGAATTTAATTATATTTTAATTAAATGATAGTTATTTTGTGAATTTTATGTTTGTAGGAATTTGGTATACGTTATCAGGTAATTTCATATATGTTCTTTTTACCGGGTTTAAAGATTGAGAAAATTGTCATGTATTTTCGTGAAATTTTTCTAATTTATGAGAAAACAGCAGTGTACATGGATGTAGTGAAGAGTGTGCGCAATGCCATTTTTGTGCAATTCTGGGATGTTTTTTTAAGTAAAAATAAGTCGACGTGTACATGGTTTAGTGATATTTTAATTAAATGATAGTTATTTTGTGAATTTTATGTTTGTAGGAATTTGGTATACGTTTAAGTTGAAGTAAACGTGCATGGAAATAATTTAAATATTTGATACTAAGTATTTGTAATGCTTGCGGTATGAATTCGTTGGTGACGTGTATAATGTAATAGATGATTTAGAGGTAAAAGTTTTTGGTTATTTTATTTATTTTATATGTGGAAATGTTCATATATGGAATGGGTAAATACTTTTTCGCGATCAGGTAATTTCATATATGTTCTTTTTACCGGGTTTAAAGATGCAATGCCATTTTTGTGCAATTCTGGGATGTTTTTTTAAGTAAAAATAAGTCGACGTGTACATGGTTTAGTGATATTTTAATTAAATGATAGTTATTTTGTGAATTTTATGTTTGTAGGAATTTGGTATACGTTTAAGTTGAAGTAAACGTGCATGGAAATAATTTAAATATTTGATACTAAGTATTTGTAATGCTTGCGGTATGAATTCGTTGGTGACGTATATAATCTAATAGATGATTTAGAGGTAAAGGTTTTTGGATATTTTATTTATTTTATATGTGGAAATGTTCATATTTGGAAAGGGTAAATACTTTTTCGCGATCAGGTAATTTCATATATGTTCTTTTTACCGGGTTTAAAGATTGAGAAAATTGTCATGTACTTTCGTGAAATTTTTCTAATTTATGAGAAAAAAGCAGTGTACATGGATGTAGTGAAGAGTGTGCGCAATGCCATTTTTGTGCAATTCTGGGATGTTTTTTTAAGTAAAAATAAGTCGGCGTGTACATGGTTTATGTGTATGTGTTATTTTGAAAAACGCGTAAGGAGTATGGTATTGTGCACTTTTTCCCAATTTTGCAGTGAATATTTGTCATGATTAAGCAGTTTTGTTAGATAAAATTTCTAGCATAAGTGTAATTCGGCTAGTAGATTGTTGGAAGAAAGAAGTGTTCAGTAGATAAAAAGAAAAGAAACATGTCTTTACTTCGTGAAGACAAAATGGCGGCGGGAAAAAAAAAATAGAGGGTTGCTGTAGGAGAGTTGGTCGCCAAATTTTCGCCAAAAAAACGCCAAGTTACCATAATGTAAAGATCAAACCAACATTTCTATCAATGTAAGTTGTTTAAGTTGCTTCATTTTTTGTGCTAATATTTTCTCTTTAACTCTATAAACAGACATAATTTCTTGTTCAGTTACAAAGTTCCACTGTTCAAGTCCTATAATTGCTGCGTCGAGATTACCGAGTAACTTGTCAATCGAAATTTGTTCGTTTTTAATAACGTTCTCTGTTACTTTCTTCACTATGGGAAGCGCACATGGGTAAACGCTTTACTGGCTATTTATGCACTTGCATAGCAGATGCGTGCATCAAACGCACATGCGTTTGATGCACGCGTCTGCTATGCTAGTTTGTGGCTTTGAGGAACGGATTATAGATCATTCCGGCTAATGAACGTGCAGATTATGGACTGCCTCAAGCTTAATAACACTAATAGAGTTCAAAATGATGTAGTTTACCTTGATTTACGTAATCTGAATTACAATCTTTTAAAAATCTATGACAAATGCAGAGATTTCAACTTTCCTACACTAAAATTAACTAACTGGAATTCTAATATTTCTAAAAGGGTCATTGTCAATACAATTAATGCACAACTTCTTAGAATTAAAAGAATTTGTTATAATACAAAACACCTCCAACAAGAAGTACTCTACTTTGTTAATATCTTACAAAGCAACCTTATTCCAAAAACAGTTTTTAAAAATTCATTAAAAAAAGCTGGCGTTTACCTGTTCTTTTAGATATTTTAAGTTAGATAATGAATTTTTTTACTTAAATCCCTGTTGGGAAGGTGATTAATGGATGGCTAATTCAAGTGATCTAATGTGAAAATGTAAAGTTAATTCCTCTCACAACTTCAATTTTATTCTCCACGTTTGGCTCAGTACTTCAAATTCTATTCTTGAATAAATGTTTAACCCTCTAAGTGGCAAGGCTGTCTTAGAATTCTCGGTTAAAGTGCCGAATCGCCCAGTTATTTGTTTGCCGCTTTTTACAAGGGTAAAAACAATTGGACTTTTGTCAATTTTCTTTTACTTTTTAAAGTGAAAATAGGTCGATGTGTACATAGATAAAGTCAAGGGTGTGCGCAGTGCCATTTTTGTGCAATTCTGGGATTTCTTTTTAAAGTGAAAGTAGATCGATGTGTACATGGATACCGAGTATGTGCAATTCTTAAAAACGCGTCAAACAGTGGGGGATTCTGCACTTTACCCAAAATTCTATTGCACACTTTTCATCATGGGCAATTCCCAAATTGTTAAATCCATAGGATATCAAAAAAGAATTTAAAAAAAAAAAAAAAAAAAAAGATTTAAAAATTAAACTAGTATTTCAATGGTGTTTTAAGAAATATAGAACTATATAAACTTACGCAATCTGAAATCAGCGCGTACGCTAGATTTGGCATGCTGTTTAAATGGGCACGTTTGCTAGATTTGGCGCTTTTGCTCATACATTTTTACGCTCCTCAAAATGGAATAGTACCATAAAATTATATGGTGATAGAAATATTATGAAGTGCTATAAAAACCTTCTAAAATATCCTTCTCTATTTGAGCTTTCAGATAAAAAATGCATACTTTTAGAAAGTTTGGTTGACCTTTACATTATGGTAACTTGGCGTTTTTTTGGTGAAAATTTGGCGACCAACTCTCCTACAGCAACCCTCTATTTTTCACGAAGTAAGACATGTTTCTTTTCTTTTTATCTACTGAACACTTCTTCCAACAATCTACTAGCCGAATTACACTTATGCTAGAAATTTTATCTAACAAAACTGCTTAATCATGACAAATATTCACTGCAAAATTGGGAAAAAGTGCACAATACCATACTCCTTACGCGTTTTTCAAAATAACACATACACATAAACCATGTACACGCCAACTTATTTTTACTTAACACCCCAGAATTACACAAAAATGGCATTGCGCACACTCTTCACTATATCCATGTACACTGCTTTTTTCTCATAAATTAGAAAAATTTCACGAAAATACATGACAATTTTCTGAATCTTTAAACCCGGTAAAAAGAACATATAATGAAATTACCTGATCGCGAAAAAGTGTATACCCTTTCCAAATATGAACATTTCCACATATAAAATAAATAAAATATCCAAAAACTTTTACCTCTAAATCATCTATTATATTATACACGCCACCAACGAATTCATACCGCAAGCATTACAATTACTTAGTGTCGAATATTTAAATTATTTCCATGCACGTTTACTTCAACTTAAACGTATACCAAATTCCTACAAACATAAAATTCACAAAATAACTATCATTTAATTAAAATATCACTAAACCATGTACACGTCGACTTATTTTTACTTAAAAAAACATCCCAGAATTTCACAAAAATGGCATTGCGCACACTCTTCACTATATCCATGTACATTGCTTTTTTCTCATAAATTAGAAAAATTTCACAAAAATACATGACAATTTTCTGAATCTTTAAACCCGGTAAAAAGAACATATGAAATTACCTGATCGCGGAAAAGTATATACCCTTTCCAAATATGAACATTTCCCCGTATAAAATAAATAAAATATCCAAAAACTTTTACCTCTCATTATCTATTATATATTACAAACGTCACTAACTAATTCATACCGCAAACATTACAAATGGTTACAAATACTTAGTGTCAAATATTTAAATTATTTCCATGCACGTTTACGCAAATTACTTTACTTTCACCTTACATTTGGAACAATGCATAAAAATAATATCCTCAAATAATTAAAAATACTAACTTAAAAATACTAACTTACCTATTCTTCTTCAGAATCTTGACTACGTGTCCGATAAACTTTTCTTATTTCTGTTTCAGGATCTTTAAAATCATACTTATAGTTCACACCAAGGTACCAGGTAAAATAAATAACTTAATTAAACATCTTTACTTCTATCTCGCACAACCTTAAAGAAACACTTATTACTACCCCTTTCAATCCCACTAAATACCCATTTCGAATTCATTCGAATAGGGCCATGGGATCCAAAAATTAACGAACACTGTTTCACACAACACAGAATAAAGCCAAATACAAAATTTCCAGATTTTTTCCCGATTTGCCCCCTTTTCCGATTAAAGAACCGTAATTCGTCCATTAATATCACATGACATATCCCATGGTCTCTCATTTCCCTCACACAAAATAATGCGTAATCGGAACTGAGTTCTGCTCACATTATTACCAAAGTCCCAGGTAGTAACTTTTATCGCCTCCAAAATGTCGCCAAACTACCAGTTACCATATTCTAAAGATCAGCCGAAAGTTTAATAGGGTGTAGACTGCTTAAGTTTTTTTTAACACTGTAAATGAAGTTAATTGAATTTTTTTTAAATAAATTTTAGTAGTAATAATTTTTTTTTTTTGTTATTGTTCTATTTCAGTGCAAAATTTTTTAATTCTGATAATTTGATTAAAAATTGTATTTGCTGTTGCGTTTTTAAAGATGTTGAAGTGCCAATTTATAAATTTTATTGTAGAAAAATTAATTTCTCTTCTTTTATCAAATAGTGTTATTTCTTTAAGATTATGAATGTTAACAAATTAATTTCTGTTTTATATATTATGCCTTACCTGGCTTTAAAGTATTTACCGCCCCCCTTTTTTTTCCGAATCATTGGTAATAAGTCATATCTTCCAATTACGAAGTGTTTTGAATTACTAAAATATTCATCTTTTGACAGTGTCAAATTTAAAATAATAATAATAATAATTTTCCACAAATAACAAAATCTAACTTTTAATGCGATCTCCCTGTTCCTATGCTTAAATTTGGGAAAGTTTTATACTCATTATATGAAAAAATAAAGTTATAAGAAGTTTGATTTCTGTACCACAAAAACTGACTATCATGTTTAATTTCAAAATTTGCAATTTTTGATATCATTTTCAATTTTCCTTGAGAGGATCGGTTATTTACGTTGGAATAATTCAAGGAAATAAGTTTAAATGAAGTGCTGCAAAAACTGTGTATAATTTAATAAGTTGTGCAACGAAGTCACATGGTGTCCACATCATATTTTACTATTATTGAGAAAGAATTTATATCTTATTCTACTATTGTTTGTGATTCTGTAATTTGTTGACTTATTGTTTGAGCTGGGCAGAAATGAAATTACGGAACATAAAATTTTCTATCAAAAGTGTAAAAATTGTTTTGTTAGTCTTTGGGTTACTGTTAAAGTGAAGGAATTACAAAAAATAATTAATATAAATGTAAAAACAATATATTGGGATTATAGTATTTTAAGTTGTATTAATTTCTAATTATACAGGTATAAGTCATAAACAGACTTCTGTTAGCCAGAATTCAGCTTCATGTAGTCAAAAAGGACCTGTAATAGATGAGACAGAATTACCTGCTAGGTATTCTAGAAAGCTTCTTTCTCAAGAAGAAATTGAAACAATAGAAGTAAGTATGTTTAAAGCAAATGACTGTTCTGTAATACTTTTTTTTTTGGTGAAAATATTTGGGAGGAAGTGATATAATCAGAAATCACAATTTGAAAAAAGTTATCAAACTGTCTTCCCTTCCCTTAAGCTACTAATGATGAAAAATGCATTATAGTTTATTATTAGTATTATTATTAACAAATCACCATATTTTATACAAACTACTATCAAAATTCAATTTTAGCCATATGAAGAAAAAATTTATTTCATTAATCTGTGAGGTAGACTCAGTAACTAAAGTTGTTATCTGTGAGGTAGTAATATATATGTGATGTTTAAAGGTTTGTAGTTTTGGTACATTGATAGAATTTAGCAGAGAGCTGACTAGAGAAGATGGAACTAATCACTATTTTAACCATAACCTAAAAAACTACTGTTTAGATAAAACTGGAGGGAAAATTGTAACTAGTTTGATCATTAAAACATCATTTTTATTTTTTAAACAGGAACAATTCTTCAGAAATACTTTTCTGCTTAAATTGGTGCAATATTAAGGATCCTAAATGTGAACCATAATTTCTATATACACAGTTTGCATTCTAGATAATAGAAAAAGATGCTTAGCGAAAAGACATGACTTTCCTAAGCAGAGCAAGCTGGCTAAAAAGTGACTCATACTAATTTCAGTATTTTTTATAAGCTCAGAAAATCTTTGTTTTAATCATCAGCAGTGATTCAGCAAAAGATTTCACAGTGCAAGGAAATAGTAATGGAACATGCTGCAGAGTGATGCAAAATGGTGTAAATGTATGTTTGATGAAATCATGTGTTTAATTAAAAATTATGAATTTAAAGGTTAAAAATTATGAAATTATCTGCAACCTATTAGTTCCAGATAATTTTGTTAATAATAATTTTGTTTCATATTTTACATTTTATTATGTATATATTATATGTAATGAAGCAACAGACTTAGATGTAATGATGTTGTAGAATGTTGATCCATATTGAAGAGCAACTTGGTGCTGAGGCAAATTAAATATTATTTTTTTTTTCAAATAACGTTACAGCCATAAACAACTTAGCACTCTAATTCGTGCCAGGTTTCAAAACATTTACATTTTTGAAGAAGAGAGTTTTAGTTCCATTTATATCACTATCAGTACGTAAGAGTCATATGAGATGGATTAGTCTCAAAATGGTTAATGTTTTTAAAATGGAGAAGGGAAATAAACAAATTAAAATTATGCATTAAGGGCTATTGCTAATTCAAATTCATATTTACAAATTTTTGTATCGTGCATATTCTCCCCTTTCAAGGAGAAAGAGCTTTAAAGCCTTTTTATAGAAGTGTTAAAGCAGTACAGTCAAAAGTCGTTAATTCGGACACCCATAATCCGGACCTCAAAGCTAAAAACTTTCTGTGCATGTGCCGCGTTGACACATGCACATAGGTGTATACGCATGCGCATAAGACCTTTATGACTGCGCATATGCTTGTGCGCAAGCGCAGAATACATTTTTACGTGCGCGTTTAATGTATAACGGACGGTATAAGCTAAAATTATCTAATTATCTATTTCAGTTAATGTTGATGATTGTGTTGTTCCTTAATCTTCGAATTGGATGCGGCTTATTATTTTTTGCAGACTGTAAGAGCAGTTTTATAAAAGTAAACTTGAACTTTCGATTATGTCAAATAGAATTTCCGATGCTGGAGCTCCCAAAGGATCTACAAAACGAAAGTATGTTTCGATGTCCGTCAAACAAAAAGTGGAATTGCTGCAAAAATGGATAAAGACAAGAAGGTGACAGAGAGGTTAGTGAAAACGAAAAAATTTCTATTGACAAGTTAGTCGGTATTTCGGCACAGCAATTACGGGACTTGAACAGCGGAACTTTGTAACTGAACAAGAAATTATGTCTGTTTATAGAATTAATGAGAAAGTATTATCACATAAAACAAAGCAACTTAAACAACTTACATTAAAAGAAATGTTTAATAAAGTAAACAAATAAATATTTTTTTTTTTTTGTAAATTTTGATACCCTTTAGATCATAATTGTTCTTTATTTCATAAATTACGGTTTCATATTTTTAATTTTAGAATTTCTGCATGCCATCGTATGAGATTTAAACTGATGATCTATAATCCGGAAAAATCGATAATCCGGAATCGCCGAAGTCCCGACGAGTCCGGATTAACGACTTTTGACTGTAGTAAATTAAGAAAAAAAGTAAATCATAAAATTCTGACCAATGTAATCAATTAAATAATAGTAAATTATAATTTTTGAATGTAAGATTTTTTTAAAAAATAAAGTTAATATTCAGAGTTCTATTAAAATTTTTCAGTATTTCAATCCAAAAGTCTTTGTGTTAGAGTCTACATAATAAATCTTCAGGGAAGGTTTTTGTTCTCAGAGTATCACAAATAATAACATTTACATAATCATTACTTATTTTAATTAACTGTAACACATATAAAAATTTATAACACTAGTTTTCATTTAGACAAATTTCATGAATATAGTAGGTGTAATATTGTAGAAATGATCTTTATTTGAAATTTCTTATTTTACCAAACTGGAAGGCCCCCTTGTACTTCTAAATAAACATTTCCATCTACAGGGCTTATCTACTTAAGCTAACTGGTACATTTGTTCTGGACCAGTGGGCAAGAGTTGCTTGAAAAGGGCTCTGTTCCTTGCATAAGGTAGCTGGCTTTTGTGAACTGCACTAATACATTTAACAATGAAATAATACAGTCAAATACCGAAAATCCGGCAACTCCTGAAATTCGCATTGCCTCTCAAAATATAAACATTCAGTTTACAGGTTCCGGAAACCGCAACATTGCGTACAAAATATCGAAGAAAAAGTACTTACTGAATAATGACGTCATAATTACCGAATAATAATGAGTCATAATGGAAATACCCAATTATTGACATCATGATAAAATTATTTTCTCCTCTAATCTCTGCATCGAGGTAAGAAAGCAGACGATTCACTCAACTCTTCTTCTAAGTTCACGATTCACATTGTTGTAATTTTGTAAGCTTTGTTATTTCACGAGATTATTTAGCGCTGTCTTTTTTTTATCCGGATATTTTGTAGATAAATTAAGACTTTTAAATTTCAGCCCTTTTTAATAAAATTACAGATAAGAAATGCACTCATGATTTTACTGCTTGCAACATTGAAAAACGTAAACACGTTGCATTGACGGTAATGCAAAAAGTGCAAATTCTGCAAAAGATGGAGATAGATGCATTTTATAGCAGAATCGTATGGAATTGCGATACGATTGTGTATGATATATGGAAAAATAAAGAAAAGCTGTTGATATTTTACAGCAACAGTGATTCTAACACTGGAAATCTTTGTATGAGGCGAAATCAGCAAACCTTGATGCTGTGTATATATAATAATGAATAATATAAGCAATTTATATACATAATAATAATTTAATGCATATAATAAGTTATTGCAATAATAATTTAATTAAATGTATCTAATACGCCTTATTTATTTTGCACTTTTAGTCTGAATATAATGATTTATTTTTCCTGTTCTGAAATCTGCAAAATCCTAAAACCCACACAACTTCTGGTCCCAAGCTTTGCGGATTTCTGGACTTCTACTGTAATAATATATTAAAAAATTGCACTTAATTGTAAAATAAGAGCCTTCATTAACTTAGAAGGAGGGCTAAAGGAACAATTGTACGGAGGTAATAATAGGGCTTTGTTTCTAAACCAGTACTCCCTCAGCATACTCTATGCTTTACATTTAATTATTCATTGCATAATTATGCATTCTTCCACCATATGAAATGGAATCCATGGAAATTACTTTTTTCTTACCCATTTCACTTTTCATTTATACTACACACATTCAATTTCATTGTAATTATTCAATTTATAATTATTAATATTTTTAATATTCATTACAGTAATGTTTAAAGTTACATTTTTTATATTTTCTTTATCATTTTCTATGCTAATATTCAAAATTATTTAATTTGCATTCTATGTTTACTTCATTCTTAAAATAATTCAAACTTATAAATAATAATTATTACATGGGAAGATTAATCTTCCAAACTGAAATATGGGATTTTTTAAAATTCATTGTTAAATCTATTTGACGTAATTACTGAAAATTTCATTTCTAATGTCATAAAATTTTAATTTTAAAAATTTAATATAATACAAAATAATTTTAACTGCTCTATTTGATGAATAAATTGCTCCAAAGATATGAAACACATTTAGCATATACAGGGGGATTCATAAAGAAGTATACAGTTTCAATGCACTCTAAATCAAGAACAATGTAAGATATTATATGTTACCTGTAGCAGAAATGTATGGAATTATTTTAAGTTTTGTTAGATACAATCACCAATATTCTGTTGGTGAATTCTTAGTCATATGACGCACATTGAGCCGATAATCTATTTCCCCCCCCAAATGCGTGTTAAGGTATCTGAATCAAGTCCATCGATAGTGGCTGTGATAGGCCATTTCAGCTCCCCTAGAACAACAGGAAGGGGAGAGACAAATACCTTGTTCTTTAGGTACCCCCACAGGAAGAATCATAAGGCGTTAAGTCAGGATTTCTGGGTGGCCACTGGGTAAGTGGCATGTTGTAATCCAAGGCTCGTCCAGTCCATCTGTAAAAGAGATGTTCATCAATGTAATCTTGCACGTAGGCCGACCAGTATGGTGGTGCATCATCCAGTTGCAGAATAAAGTTGTTAATGTCATCCTGCAACTGTGGCATCAACCAAAGAGTTAACATATCCAAAAAGGTGGCTTCCGCAGTTTGCTCGTGAAAAAAGAAGGGGCTGAACACTTTCTTTATGGACACTGGACAGAACACATTTATCTTAGGATAATCTCGCACATGTTGTGCTGTGAATTTGGGATTCTCTGTTCCTCAAAACCTATCATTATACTTGTTTATTTTCCACTCATGTGAAATATTGCTTTATTGGTGAAACTAAATAA